GGGTACAGGGAATTGAAAGGTCAAGGTAGGACAGCGGGCATGACCAGGCGCGGAGGCCTTTGAGGTAGAGGAGTAGGTGGAGATGCAGTTGGCACAAAATCCCAGGGGAGCGAGGTCTGTGGGGGAGCCAGGAATCCGGGGAGGGAGCATTCCCAGGGTGGGCGTGAGAGTGTCTCAGGCTGATGTGAGACCTTTGAGAAGTAGGTTTTGTTCTCCAAACTGACATCAAATATCTTTGTAACCATGGCAACCCACTTCTGTTTCCCACCCCTACAAAATGGAATAAAACCTGCCCAGAATCAACTTGTTTATTGTTCGAATTCACTGAGATCATGACTGTGAAAGCATGAACACTCTAGTAAGGTAGGTCTATGGACCATAAGCTTGCTGCAGCTTATAACTTGTGCTTCAGGCTTTTTTTTTTAATTGTTTGTTTTCTTTGAGAAGCTTTTTTTTTTTTTTTTAACAGGCAGAGTGGACAGTGAGAGAGAGAGACAGAGAGAAAGGTCTTCCTTTTGCCCTTGGTTCACCCTCCAATGGCCGCCGCGGCTGGCGCGCTGCAGCCAGCACACCGCGCCTATCCGAAGGCAGGAGCCAGGTACTTCTCCTCGTCTCCCATGGGGTGCAGGGCCCAAGGACTTGGGCCATCCTCCACTGCACTCCCGGGCCACAGCAGAGAGCTGGCCTGGAAGAGGGGCAACTGGGACAGAATCCGGCGCCCCGACCGGGACTAGAACCCAGGGTGCCGGCGCCGCTAGGTGAGCCGCGGCGCCGGCCCGAGAAGCTCTTAATGTCCAAATGTTTGTCTGAGTCCTGATCAGGGAGTATCACAATTATTGAGCATGCTTTTAAAACAACCCCTTCAGCTCTGGCTCTGGGTTGTTCAATGGGAAGCCTAAAGATGTTTTCAGGATCAAATGGAGTTTGTTATAAGCGCCATTCTTTCTAAACACAGTCCTGCCTCTGGATCTTCAATTTCTACATCCACAGAGTCAACCAATTACAGATGGAAATATTCAGAAAAAATTAAAATGGTACAAATAAAAAATGTTTAATAGCTATTTGCATATCATTTATATCATATTCCATATTGTCAGTAATCTGGAGATGATTTAAATATGTGGGATGGAGCTGGCCTTGTGCAGCAGGTTAGGTTGTTGCTTGTGATGTCTGCTTCTTGTATCAGAGTGCCAGTTTGAGTCCTGGCTGCTCTACTTTTGATCCAACTTCCGATCCAGCTAATGCAGCTGGGAAGGCAGTAGATGATGGCCCAAGTGCTTGGGCGCCTTCCTCCCATGTGGGAGACTCAGAGTTTCTGGCTCCCGGCTGTTGTGGCCTTTTGGGGAGGGAAGCAGCAGATACAAGATCAATTAATCTCTCTCTCCCTTCCTTCCCTCCCTCCCTCCCTCCCTCCCTCCCTCCCTTTCAAGTAAATAAATAAACAAATAAATCCTGGAAGTGTATGGAAAGGGCTATTTGGTACAGCTGTTAAGATGCCACCTGGTGTACCTACGTCCCATATCTGTACGCCTAGGTTCTAGTCCCAGCTCTGCCTCTGATTCCAGTTTCTTATTAATGCACATCCTTGGAGGCAGCAGTGATGGCTCAGGTAATGGGGTCCCTGCCACCTGTGTGGTAGTTGGAATTTGAGTTTCCTGCTCCCAGCTTTGGCCTGGTTGAGCCCTGCCCCTGCTATCTTGGGCATCTGGGGAGTGAACCAGCAGATAGAATATCTATATTTATCCATTTCTCTGTCTCTCTCTCTGCGTTTCAAATAAAAAATTTAAAAATGAGATACTTTTTTTTTTTTTTTTTAGGATTTATTTATTTATTCGAAAGGCAGAGAGAGAGAGAGGTCTTCTATCCTCTGGTTCATTCCCCAAATGGCTGCAACTGCCGGTGCTGTGCTGATCCGAAGCCAGGAGCCAGGAGCTTCCTCAGGTCTCCCACGTGGGTACAGGGGCCCAAGGACTTGGGCCATCTTCTACTGCTTTCCCAGGCCATAATAGCAGAGAGCTGTATCTGAACTGGAGCAGCCTGAACTCCAAACGCCCATATGGGATGCGGCACTGCAGGGGGCGGCTTTACCTGCTATGCCACAGCACTGGCTCCAACAAGATACTTCTTAAAAAAATAAAGTACACGGGAAGATAAGTGTAGATTTTGTGCATTTTAGGTAAGAGACTTGAGCATCTATGGGTTTTGGTATCTGAGGAGTCTTGGCACCAGTTCCCTGCCACTGGGGGAGATTGTATGTGACCTTTGGAACTAATGAGATGGCTTTACATGTAGGATTTTATGGCTGAGTGTGAAGCTTGTTTGTAAGAAACTTTTGTTACTTTTATTGTTTAAATGAGATGCAGCCAATTTTTCTTCTCTCCTTTTACCACATAAGGAATTATTTTCTTCAAATGAACCTAAAATATCTCTCATGAATACTCCTATTTTTAACTGAGTGTTTCTCTCTTGTTCCTCAAGGTTCTGATGGATCTTTTTTTTTTAAAGACGCCTTATAATGGAAATGTTTCAAACAAGTGCAGATGCAGAGAGGTGTGGGGGGCCTGGGGTGGAGCCTCACCCTTTCCCGAGAGCTCCACCTCTGCCTGGGGCGCCATGGGCACCTTCCGGGGCGAGGCAGGTCCTCTGGACTGCGGCAGTGGATGCCCTCTCTGTGGGGAGAGCGGAGGCTGGGAGGCAGTGGACGCTCAGGGCTGCCTGGTGGTGGAGGTTGGACGGCTGTGGTTCCCGAGTTCCCACGTCATGATAGCTTCCTGTGCAGGTTGAGCATCCCTGGTCCAAACATCCACAGTGCTCCAAAACCCGAAACTCTCAGCACCGACATTATCCCACGAGTGGAAAATTCCATACCTGACTTCCCCTGGCAGGTTTCAATCAAAATGCAGGCATGCTAGAATTACTGTGTAAAATTTCCACCAGTCTATGCATATCAGCTGTATATAAAACATAAGTGAATTTCATGTTTTGTCTTGGGTCCTATCCCCAAGATATCTCATTATGTATATAAAAATATTCCCAAATCTGAAGAAAAAAATCCCAACTGCGAAACACTTTGGGGCATTTGGAGAAGAGATCCTTAGCCTGCATATGAGGGCAATATTCAGCCATACTTTTGTTTTGTTTTGTTTTGTTTCTCTCTGTAACTCTGCCTTTCTTTAAAATGAAAGATTTTCCACCTGTGAGTTCACTCCCTAAATGGCTTCAATGGCTGGGACTGGGCCAGACCGAAGCCAGGAGCCAGGAGTTTCTTCCGGGACTCCCACATGGGTGTAGGGGCTCAAATATTTGGGCCATCTTCTGCTTTTCCAGACACATTAGCAGGGAACCGGACCAGAAGTGAGCCCATATGGGATGCCGGTGCCACAGGTGGCAGCCTAACCCATTATATCACAACATCAGCCCCATGGATATACTTAAAGCTGGAGTGGTTCAGCTGCTTGGTAGAAGAGGTCCAATTTCTAAGCTGCTCAGTAGTGTGTCCACATAGTGAGCAAACAACATGTTCTCTTTTGCTTTGGAAACACAAAGTTTTCTCTACAGAGAAAGCTATGTTACTGTTTCACCTCTAACTCAAATATGTACACATAACTCTTGGTTGAACGATTGAACCTCCAACCATAGAATATTGGAAGATTCTAAAAGGCTAAAATATCATTGATTTGAGGGTATGTATTTTAGGTCCATACAATTTATTCCATTTATTTTTAAATTTTTAGTTATTTGAAAGGCAGAGAAGACACAGAAAGATCTTCCATCCTCTGGTTCACGCCCCAGATACCTGCAAGAGCTGGGACTGGGCCAGGCCGAAGTTAGGAGCCCAGAACTCCATCTGCGTCTCCCATGTGGATGGCAGGGACCCCAGTACACGAACCATCACCTGCCACCTCCCAGGGTGCACTTTAGCAGGAAGCTGGAATTGGAAGTGGAGCTAGGACTCGAACCGGCTGTGCATATAGACCAAGCAGTGTCTTCACCACTGTGCCTAACAGACACCCTGAATTGTTTTGATAGTCGAAAAACAGTGGCCTAGGTGTCGGCACTGTGGCGTAGAAGATAAAGCCGCTGCCTTTAGAGTTACAGAGAAAAGATCTTCCATCTATCCGCTAATGTCCGCAGTGGAGCTGAGCCAATATGAAGCCAGGATCCAGGAGCCTCTTTTGGGTCTCCCATGTGGTTGCAGGGGCCCAAGCACTTGGGCCATCTTCTGCTGCCTTCCCAGGCCATCAGCAGGGAGCTGGATCAGAAGTGGAAAAGCTGGGACTTGAACCATCACCCATGTGGGATGCCGGCATTGCAAGTGGCAGCTTTACCCACTATGCCACAGTACCAGCCCCATATGCTGAAATCTAGCCAGCATTTGAGAAAGGCAGGAAAGGTCCCCGAGAGACAAGGTCCGGGGAGGAAGGGGAGGTTTTGTTGCTTGTTTGGTGCTCTTCGTTGAAGTTGCCACCCCAGGGCCCCATGTCACAGAAAGGCTGTCTTCTGGGAAGAAGATGGTCTGACTCTGGAGAAGAGAAGAGGTGGTGGCCCGGGGCGGGGGGTGGGGGGGTGGGGCGGCGGCAGCATAATTGGCTTCTCTTGGTGTGAGGACGGGGTGCTGTGCAGCCAGCCCCTTCATGGCAGTTGTGGCACTTGGGGGATGGGGTGCACAGTTCCTTCCTCCCTCAGAGTCAAGAGCTGGACTTGGCTCTTCTGGAACCTTCCTGTCTGGGAGGCATTGCTGGAGCAGGAAGGGGGATTCCAGGTGACTTTGTTACTCCCTCTGACGGACCCCAGGAGGAGAGAAATGCAAGGCACTGGGGCAGCTGAGGCAGGCCTCGTGCCGGAGGAGGCAGGGTTTGAACCTGGCTGTCCGGGATTGGACTGGGACTGGATAGCCGGAGAAGGGGCGTTTCAGGCTGTGAGGTGCCAGCCGGAGCCCAGGCGGGGGTGGGGGGGGCAGCCTTTGGTTAGGGTGCTGCTGCCCAGAAGCCCTCGGGGAAGGATCAGGTTTTTGCGAGAGGGCCTGATGAAGATGAGGCTGGGTTGCCTTTCTCTCCTGCACCGGGAGCATGGCACCCCTACCCCCGCAGCTCCTCCACTCTGCTTGGGTGTGTCATGCAAGTTTCTGACCCTGGCAGCTGGCTTAACTGACCTGTGGAGTGAGGACCTCAGCCGCCACTTTGCAGGGCTGTGTATCCAGCTGGGCCATTGGCACTTGTGCTGGCCCACGGACAAGCCCTGTTGAATGGGTGGAGACCGGCGTGCAGTGGTTAGCTTGTCTCGTTACAAGGAGCGTATGTGACACCTCTATCTCTCTCTTCCCTTTCTTCCATCCCACAGGGTGTCAGACTCTTGAACAGCCTTCCTGTTGGTTCCCTTTCCTCAAATGCATTATTTAAAAATCCCTGCACAGGCCAATTTTGCGGAATTTTCTATGCTTTCCGTGCCCGTTTTCTGAGAGTGGATCAGACGCGCTCTCTGCGAGTCGCCAAGTCCTGGGTGCTTGGACCCCTGGTGCCGGCTTCCCTGGCTGTCAGGGCCAGTTCTCTCTGGAGAAAGCACATCACTGGAGAGCTTCGTCCTAAGGGCCGAGACACTGAGACTTCCCCAGGGAATTTATGAAATGACTTAAAATACACACAGTGAATGTCACTGGTATAAATTTAAATATTTATTGAAGTTACAGAAGAGTGCTATTTTTAATAAGCTGTATGTAATCCCGAGTTGTGGCCTGTTCAAACAATGCTTTCCTGGCCACTGTGTTTATTCTAGAAGGGAAACAAGTGTGAGTATTGGAGGAAAATGACAGAGATGCTCTCGAATTGTGTTTCCTGGGGAACGAGACTTGGCAGATATAATTTAAAGGCCCTGGGAAGGGCAGTGATTATTTTGAAAGAGTATTTTGTAGAGCGCTGACTGAAAATAATATACATAGTCCTTTATGCCAGGGAAATTGGCAGATTGAATTTGGGTGCCCAGCTGCTTAATAATAAAGTGTGATCATGGCATTACCACACCACCTATGAAACTAAGCCGTGGGAATTCAGGTACTTTTGGGAGTCAATCTGAAAGATTTGAGGGGGTTGACTTTTAGTTTTGTTAATTGGTCATCTGTTGAAGTTTTGACGTGTCTTATTACGTAAAACGACGTAATCGCCTTCCAAGTACCTATGTGAAAGTATTCTTAACCGATGTCACCAGCTTTTCTGCGTGTGTCTGCAGACCGAGTAGCCCAGGTGACAGTCACCAGGTCTCCCTCCCATGCCCGTTGCCAGCACACCAAGATTGCCCAGCCAGGGCGCGTGGCCTACTTACTTTCAGAAGCCTTTATGCAAGGTCAGTTGATAACTTAGTTTATGTAATGAGCTTCTGTTTCTAGCTCAGTACTTGTAATTTATGCTTGTGCATTTCCATTAATGTTTAATGGGCTTCTGCCTCCCCTCCCCCCTCCTGGGGGGCCTGTGTGTTTATAGATGGCTCTAATTGTATGTGACTGTTTCCTGGGAAGTGTGTTCAGGTGACTGTTGCCTTGAGATGCCACCAGATAAAGCTGACTGGAGGGGGAGGGGGAGGGGTTGCCGGGAAGCCGGGGTTCTGCACCCTTATGGCGAGGAGGGGTGGGAGAGGGGTGCTCTGTAGGGGCCTGGAACGCAGGGCTTGTGTGTGAACTTGTCCAAGAATGCTGTAAAGACTCCTGCTGGGAAAGATCAAACAATGAAACCTTTCCTTTAGCTGGGTGCTGGCTCCTCCCCACTCCTCCCCTGTGTGTCCTTTCCTGTCCTCACATTTATTCTCTGTTGAGCGGCAGACACTGGAGTCCGCCTCTCTGGGCGTGGGTCCTGTGGGTGCCTGTGACGTGTTATCACTCGGCATGATAAGTCAGATGGGTGGGTGAGGTGTGGAAATCGCAAGGGGAAGTAGTGGTGGCCTGGGATTGAAGCTCTAGACTGAATGAAGCCTTTGTCGCCACTGTCCTCTGTCCCGGGGCCTGTGGGTTGGCCATCCCTTCTCTGCCGGCGACCTCAGGTGGCTCCTGCCACGCTGTGCCTGGGCTGCCACCTCTGGAAGCCCTGTGGTGCTCTGTAAGGCTCTGAAACAGAAGTTCTTGTAGCTTCTTTCTGGTAGCAAAACCGGGACGTGATCTGTGTTTGCAGTATGTGTGCGTGTTGTTCAGAAAACAAGAGTGGAATGGTTCATTTTGTGGCTCACGAAGGTTCTCTGGTCTGGCTGGCTGATGTCTGTGAACAGGGGAGCTGGGGGCTGGGCCTGCTCTTCTGGCCCCTGCAGTTGGAGCCGGTTGCAGGGCTGAGCTGGCTCCCTCACCTCGGGCTGTGGAGCCAAAGGGGAGTGTGAAGGGGAGCTTTCTCCTGTGTCAGCAGCTCTGCCCGAGGTGTTGTGATGAGGCTTGGCTCTGGCTTCCTAGCGTAGGTGAGTGATGAGCAGATCACAAGTGACTCAGGACCCACATCTGCAGGGGATTCTGCCCGTGGTACACACGTGCCCCTGGACACCTTCAATCAGGGAGTGGTGTCCCCTAGCCACTTTGTTGATGCTGCTCCTTTCTCTGGTTAGAATAAACATCTCAATCTCTTTGGCTTTCTTTGGAATTATCTGCATCTTCCTGGGTTTCCACAACTGCCGTGCTTTCCATTCCTTGATTGTTTTTGAGAAGTGCAGCTTTATTGGGAGAGTTGGGAAGTCCTCCTTGAGCTTTGACCAACATTATCACATGGTAAAAGGTTTAAGAGCTAAGGTTGGCATTGTGGCGGAGCAGGTAAAGCTACCGCCTGCAGTGCTGACATCCCATATGGGTGCCAGTTCAAGTCCTGGCTGCTCCACTTCCAATCCAGCTCCCTGCTAATGGCCTCGGAAAAGCAGCCGAGAATGGCCCAAGTGCTTGGGCCCCTGCACTCATGTGGGAGACCCAGAAGAAACTCCTGGCTTTGGTCTGGGATAGCCCTGGCCATTGAAGCCATCTGGGGAGTGACCCAGTGGATGGAAGATCTCTCTCCCTCTCTGTGACTCTTGACATCCAAAAGTGTAAGAGTAGACTGGGTGGGGGAGTTGGGTTCAAAGTCCCAACTCCACCAGGATTAGCTCCTATGACCTCAAACTAATTGCTTCACATTTTTGAACCTGTGAAGATTAAATGAGATGAGAACATCTCGGCATAGAAAAATGGGCAAAGGGCAGAGGGAATGGGAGAATCAAGAAGGAAGCACATGGAGAGAGGGCGTGAAGTAGACACGGGGACGTGCTTCTTTGGGACAAGCTCGTCCACGTGGGAGACTTGGTGCCTCTTGGTTTGGAGGGTAAAGTGGACTGGCCGCTATCTTCAGTGGGACATGGGACTGAGGGAAGAACAGTAACTTTTGATTATGTGCTAAGTGACTTTGAAAGTTCGTGTTCCCTTTCTAGTTTTTCCTTAGGAAATAATCTCATGATGAAAAAAATGTGCAGATTATTCTTCACCTTTTTTTTATTATAGGAAAAATCATAAACAGCTCGTACCCATTCGTTAAAGGTTGATCAGACCAAGTGTGCCTGTTTTTTTTTTCAGAGGTGCATTAGAGACCTGGTGGTAGAAGAGAGACTACCGTGAACTGAATCTGCTTTGCAGAAACTAAATCTCAGAGAACACAAATGCCAAATATATTTGTAGTCAACATGGATATCCAATTTGGAGTGCTTAGTTTTCCCCTTATTTCATATTTCTATAATGTGTAGTCAGGTTTTTTTTTTTAATTATTTCTTTTTATTTTATTTGAAAGACACAGAGAGAGATAGAAATCTTCCATCTGCTAGTTCACTCTGCAAATGCCCACAACAGCCAGGGCTGGGCCAGGCTGAAGCCAGAAGCCAGGAACTCCATCCGGGTTTCCCATGTGGGTGGCAGGGGCCCAGACACTTGAGCCATTACCCGCTTCCTCCTAGGGTGCACATTAGCAGGAAGCTACGGAGTAGGAAGTGGAGGAGCTGGGATGTGAACCTGGCACTCTGCTGCAGTATGCAGGTGTCCTAAACAGCGACTTAACTGCTGTACCAGGCGCTGCCCCGTGGGGTGTTTTTAAATAGAGGAGATGTGAAAGAAAACACATTGCTTCAACCTGTCCAGTAGCAGCATTTGTCAGGTTAGATGTTGGCCTGGCCCATCTTCTAGCAGAGGCTGCTGCCTGCTCTGTCACCTGAACCGACCGCCCATGTGCCTCACTGCCCTGCTTCCCCCCGCGTTCCTGAAATCGGCCCTGTCATAGGCACCACTCAGGTCTTACGGCTCCCCTGCTGCTAATGTTGTGTGTTTCTTGCCTGTCTGCCAAGGACCCACGTTTTATGCCCTTTTGCTTGGAGATGAGTTTGGGTTGGTGAAACGGAGGTCTAAGCTGGTGCCAGTTTTCAGCGGAGGATGTAGCTGGCCTTACGACACTCACAGCCAGCGTGTTTTCCAAGATAGGTTCGTAGCAACCCTGGGTGGAGCAAGTCTGTCAGCACCCAACACCACCTTCCCAACAGCTCAGCATGGTTGTTTTTTTTTTTTTTTTTTTTTTTTTTTTTTGACAGGCAGAGTTAGATAGTGAGAGAGAGACAGAGAGAAAGGTCTTCCTTCCGTTGGTTCACCCCCAGATGGCTGCTACAGCCGGCGCTGTGCTGATCCGAAGCCAGGAGCCAGGAGCTTCTTCCTGGTCTCCCATGCGGGTGCAGGGCCCAAGCATTTAGGCCATCCTCCACTGCTTTCCCTGGGCCACAGCAGAGAGCCGGACTGGAAGAGGAGCAGCCGGGACAGAATCCGGCACCCTGATCGGGACTAGAACCCAGGATGCCGGCACCGCAGGCGGAGGATTAGCCTAGTGAGCTACGGCGCCGGCTGCTCAGCATGTTTTTTAAACAAAGTATTTTTAAAAAATTTATTTATTTACTTGAAAGAGTTACAGAGAGAGATCGATCTTCATCTGCTGGTTCACTCTCCAGATGGCCACAATAGCTAAGGCCTTGGGTGCAGGGGCCCAAGAACTTGGGTCATCCTCCACTGCTTTCTCAGGTCGTCAGCAGAGAGCTGGATCAGAAGTGGAGCAGCTGGGACTCGAACCAGCACCCTTATGGGATGCTGATGTCACAGGCAGCGGTTTTGCCCACTGCGTCACAAGGGTGGCCACAGAAAGCATATTTTGATGAAGATATGTGTGTTGTTTTTTAGACATAGCACTGTTGTGTACTTAATAGACTGCAGTGTCCTGAAGTATAACTTTTATATGCACTGGGAAACTGAAAATCAAGTGACTCATTTTATTTTGAGATTTGTCTCATCGCGGTGGCTGGAGCCCGGTATGAAGTTGGTCCGAGGCACACATGGTGCCCCTCGAGCCACAGCCACCCTGGGCCGCCTCATCTCCGGAAACGGAGCCGCACCCATGTACTTCCCTTTGTCCTCTGTAAGTGCCACAATCATCTGACAAGGACCTCGGAGGTGGAAGGGGCTTTCCTGGCCACTCCCTGTGTGTGCATGGGACTCTGGGCTCCCACTCCCTGTGTGTCCAGGGACTCTGGGCTCCCACTCCCTGTGTGTGCATGGGACTCTGGGTTCCCACTCCCTGTGTGTGCAGGGACTCTGGGCTCCCACTCCCTGTGCATGCAGGGACTCTGGGCTCCCACTCCCTGTGCGTGCAGGGACTCTGGGCTCCCACTCCCTGTGCGTGCAGGGACTCTGGGCTCCCACTCCCTGTGCGTGCAGGGACTCTGGGCTCCCACTCCCTGTGCGTGCAGGGACTCTGGGCTCCCACTCCCTGTGCGTGCAGGGACTCTGGGCTCCCACTCCCTGTGCGTGCAGGGACTCTGGGCTCCAGAGGCCCTGTTTGCTTTTCCGCAGCTTGGTGCCTGCAGGGCACAGTGTTCTCCAGCATTAGGCTGCTCTGCTCTCTCCCGCCCTGGCAGTAGTGCTGGCACTGGGTGCCTGCGGCAGGCCAGCACGCCCAGCCTGGTCACTGCTGCCTGTGCCCTCTCCCAGGCTCCCATGGGTACACACCCTGAGGCCCATGCTGCTGGCCAAGCAGGGCATCCTGAGCCTGGCCATGAGCTGCTTCTGTCCATGCCCTGCCCTGACGTGGAGAGGCCCTTGGGTTCCTGGTTCCGGCAGCACCCTCAGCACGCCAGTGGGGGGTGTGTGAGCTCCGCCCCTCCACGGCCCTCCATCACTGACCTGCAGCACTGTTTGTGTTCTTACTCCATCTTCACAGGCGCTCAGTTATCATCGTCTCGTAGTAAACTGCCCTTGCTTACGTGACAGCCTGGTTTCCACCTCCGTGGAAACTGTTCCGTGCAGCCCTGCTAAGCCCGCAGCAGGC